TAAAGACAGAAATATTAAATATATCATATCAATAGAAAAACAAATTTATTGATAATAACAAAACAATTTTTATAAATTTAATTAGAATTAGTTAGAATTAATTATAAATCAGCACAATAACCATTTCGTTTCTAAACAATAACCCCTTATTTTATAACTTTCGTAAACATATCTTTCTTTCTATTTTTAGTTTTTTCTAGAAATTAACTAATGTTATTTTTATTAAAAAACAAGTAGGTAGAGTTTAAAGCAATGCAGACACTCTTCACAAAAAGATTTAAAATTCTCATTAACTAAAAATAACTTTTTAAATATTGAGAATTTTTAGGATTTTTTTTTCTGAAGTATAGTTGTTTATTAGAGCAATTGAACAGTGTAAAAAAAGATTTAAAATTTCAAGTTTCTATTAAAAATAAAATTCTTTTTTTAAAAAAAAACTTTAGCATATTGGAAAATTGTATTTCTTCAGCATATTAGAAAATCCAAAAGGGGACAGTTCAAAATATATGAAAAAAACTGATAAATTGATAAATTCAATATCTTTATTTTTAATATTAAAATATACAAAAGATAATAATAGAAACAGAAAAAACTAAAATAATAATAAAGAAAAAATCATAAACTAGGCTTGAAATAATCAAGAAAAAATTATAAACTAGGCTCTGCAACGTTTTGTGCAAACAGAAGCAGAGCTCACAGAGCCACAAACTGCAACTTGAATTTTAACAAGATTTTCATAAAACTTGCATCTCAAGCTATTAATTTTTAAGAAGAGCCCAGTGTTTTCAAATCCAGCTATAAATTGAATACAAGTGTGAGCTTTGTTGCTTTTAAACAACTCTGCATGGAGACTTTGGAAAAGTTTTTTGAAAAATTGCTGAAACCACTTTCAGCGTAAACTTTTTTAAAATTTCATGCCAAACATCTTTGACATGGCAAAATACGCCAAAATTAAGAGACAGCAGAATTTGAGATGAATCGGAATGCAATTTAGTGTTATATTGTTTTCATTACACTTTAAGGCTACACTTAATGACACCTGTGTACTAAGGGCATATAAAAGTAAAATATGTTGACCACCAATTTTTTGAAAGTGAGGAATAAACATTTCATCAAGCCACTGCAAAAAATGATTACTTTTTGTCCAACCAGATGGTGATGTTGTGCAAAAGGTGTTAGTTAATACTAGTGGACGTTTTGACTTTGTGACCATTGAAACTAGTTTCGTCACAATTCCACAAACTCATGGCTTTACCAAAACATATTTTTGCCAAACCAAAATGTTTTTTGTTGTAATGCGACTACCAACTACTGAAGTCTTGTTTTATTTTCAGTTGGAAAAATTGACTTTGGTATGTGGTAGAATTGAGCTTAAGCTTAACTCAGCATTTTCAATATTATCTAATGCTTTTTTCAATGTCTCCTCAGTATAAGGCTTCTCTTTTAGAGATTTAGAAATTTAAATAATTGAATATGAAAATTGTACTTTTGTACTTCAAAAGTATAAGTACATAATTAATCATGAAAGTATGAAAACTTATTTAACCCAAATGAAAAAAAAAATCAATCAGTTTGAAAAAAAAAAAAAAAAATAAGTTAACATAAATAAATTTAAAAAAGTAGAAAAATAACAAACATATTAAACTATTAACTTTTATTTGATTATAGGAAGTATAGTGTTTAAGATGAAAACTAAAAAAAAATCTTTTTTCTGCTAAAACTTTTTAATGGATTAATAGTTAAATTAGGAGTAATTTTTTGAAAATCGAAAACTATTTTTGGACTTAGCAGAAAAGCTCCAACAAAATTGCCTTTAAATTGATCTTTCATGCTAAGAAACTAACTTTTAAAAAAGCCTTAATTTGATTATAAGAGTCATAATTTGTTCGAACTTAAATTTCTTATTAAACCAATTATTTTAACAGTTTTTACTTATATTTTATATTTTCCACACACTGAAAGTTAAATTTTTTTTTTAATTTGCAATTATCTAAACTTTTAGTGAAGATATTTAGTTTTGCAAAAAATATAGATAAAAAGTCACTGTTAACAAAAACCAATTAAGTCTCTAAATAAATGAACTAGAAATTTTAATATAAGAATAAAATTTCTTAAAAAAAAAAATTTTTTTTTAAAAGTTTTATTTAATTTAAACTGTATTGTATTTTTGCCCATTACTTATGTTGAAGTGTATTTCTGCGCAATGTTTATATTGTCACAAATTTCTATTTATACTGTCATGTATAAATGTTTATACTTTAGTGCATTGCATATATTGCATGTATATCTGAGTATTTGAAAACCTTTGGGGTATTTTTGTGCATTGCTTTGTACTGGCATATATTCATGTGTATTGTATAGTGCTGTTGGCAATACTTACTTTACCATAGACTTTTTTTTTTTGTTGGTTTTCTTTTATAATTTTTTGGTTTACTTTTCACTTTTTAGTTTTTTTATTACTTTTTATATCATACCTTTATTATTACTTTTATTTTTTTTACTTGTTTATTTTATTTAGGTTTTACTCTAATGACTAGTTTATAACTATACAAGTCACTGTCCATTAACTTTGTCAAGAATTTATAGGCTGTTTTCAGTTCCCCCTTCCCCTTGTCAAAGACTTGTCAAACTTCCAGAGACCCTCCTATAAATTACATCAACATTTAATAGTCCCTCCTTCCTTTTTACCTTGCAGTAAAAGTGTTGCTTATATTATAATTGACATAACGCATACAAAACACATCCGGAGGCAAAATAGAACTTTAATAAGTTGATAAGATACTGTATGTTATCCATTACCATATTTATGTTTTATTTATAAAACAAAAACATGTTTTTATATAAATAAAAAATTGAAATAGAATCATAGAGTGTATATAATTATAACATAAAAAATGAAAATCTTAAAAAAAGCAGTACTTATAATAGTATTTTTTGGTACGTTTTAGTACAGGCCTTCTCAGGAGACGCGTGCGGTCGCACGCCTTGAATGACCACGCATATATATTTTTTGTTGATAACATGGCCACGATTTTTTTTGCATTTATTAAATATGACGTATTTTAACAACGCGCTAATAAAACCAAATTAATTGCTCATCTTTTTTTATTATTATTAATAATTCATTATTATAGTTATGAGTGAGAAAATAAAAACATTAAAATAATATATATATATACTAATTATATTTAGTCATAATTCTATTTAGTAGCATTCTTGATAACAACCATATATATATATGTATATATGTATATATATATATATATATATATATATATATATATATATATATATATATATATATATATATATATATATATATATATATATATATATATATATATATATGTATATATATATATATATATATATATATATATATATATATATATATATATATATATATATATATATATATATATATATATATATATATATATATATATATATATTTGTGCAAGGAGCTAAAGAGCTGCATCTTAAAATAAAAAAAACCACATGATGCTTGCAAGGCAAATATTGGCGACCTCTGGTATAAACATTTAAATAATATAATAAAGATTTTTCTCACATACTAATTTACCTTTGTAACTCATTTTCAAAACTAAACATGCAACTGTACCCTTTGATTTGTGTTTTATTTCTGATCACAAATAAAACACAAATCAAAAATCACTCGGTTTTTTTAGGTGGTATAGTTTTTTCTTTAGGTGGTATAGTCCATGAAATACTTTAATTATGATCTATTCACTCTGCTATCACTCTTTTTTCTACTACTTTAGTTGAATGAGATCTATTTTGTTAATTTATGAAAAAATGGTCATGAATTAAGGAAAATGTCTTCTATCACGCAAAAGTTGAATCATTTTTATCTATATCTTAAAATTAGACATGCATAAAAAAAATTATTGTTGTTTGTAAATATTTATTGATATTGCATATATTTCTGTTTATTGTTTATATTGTCATCTTTATCTGTACATTATTTATACTAGCATATATTTTTGTCTATTGTTTATATTGTTATGTATATCTGTACATTACTTATACTGGCCGGTTATTGGTGCTGTTCATGCACTAGAAGAATCCTACAAGAATCCTATAGGATGAGATGCACAAGTCCCTGCAGGACCTACAAGAATCTTTTGAAGGATCTTGTAGGATTTGAAGGAATTCTTATAAGATAATACAAGATCTACAAGAATATTTTAAAAGATCTTGCAGGGTTAACAGGATTCTTATAGGATGCTGAGGGAAAATTTTAGAATCGTATATATACGGCCGTAGCCCTACCCCTTAATCCAGCACTGGTTCCTATAGGAACCAGTGATAGATTAAAGAGGAGGGGGCTAGGGCCCTAAAATATTGGGACTCCAAAACTATTAGGCGGACCTTTTTCTTTTTCTACTGTTGTAGTCATTTTTATGCTGTGGCACGATAAAAAAAACTACGGGCCCTGAAAAGTCGTAATACGCCAATGATAGGAACCATAACATTTATTATTTTATAATTAATATCATAAATCTAATAACCAAACTAAGAACATACGAAGTTAGGTTTTTATTTTGATTGGAAGGAAAGTATGTCTATTCTTCTTTTTAATTACTGATAATAGGTAAGTTAAAGTTTCCTATAGGATTCTTGTAGGATTTGTAAGATCAGTCGTCTAGTGAAGACACCTTTTGTCTTTCAATAGGTTTCGTTGCAGCACTTGTAAGTTTTGACAATACTACAATATTATTTTCTTTGTTTTTTTTAAAGCGTGTACACGAAATAAATGTGAAAGTAGAAAAACAACTAAAAAAAGGTACTAATTGACTTTTATTGGGAACTAAGTATTAATTTTAACAAGTTAATATAAGAAGATAAAATATGTCAAAGAAATTCATTTATTCCTGTGAGTGTCTAATAAAATTTCCGACTTCTGAAATAACATTTTCTTATTAAAAAAAAATCATTTTGTATAAAATAAATTTTTCACATATTATCATTATTACAGAGTCATAATTGCATTGCTGATTACTTTCGTTTTTTCTTCCTATCTAGGTCGCTCTGATTAAGACTTCGTCTGACGCACGCCCACGAGTAATTGGCAAAAACTGTTGCAAGTTGCTCTTTGAGATTTCGTATTATTGCATTAGGAACTGTGGTTCTATAATAAGAAATAAAGATATATAAAAAAAAAATCATAGAAAACAGGCAATTAATCATTATTTAAAAATTTAAAACCCGTCCCGCCCCTTAACCCATCGCAGACACAAGGGAGGGGGGGATTATTACCCCCTGACAAAATTTTTATATTATTTAAAGAGTATGACTAAGTAAAAAGTAAAAACACTTGAAATTTTAGCTACTTGCTCCAAATACTTAAGCAAATTAAAGTAAAAAAAAGTTCATTTGAAATGCCTAATCTGAGCATATTAGTCAAATCCATGGATAGATTCGGTCAAACGAATTACTGGTCAAAAACTTAAATATTGAATTCTGGCTTTTCTTTGTAATCCTGAAGTTTCATATTTTCCAAGAAGCTTTTTTTTATACTTACATATTTATTATTATTTCAATAAATGAAGTATGAGAAGTTGTTAGTCCAAGATCCTACTTTTTTGGATCTGGATTATGATCCAACAAGTTAAACTAATTGATCCCAAATTTTCAAAATAGGTTAAAAAAAATAGAAAATTTAATAAAAACCCAAGCACTGAAAGTATGATTTTCTAATTAACCCCCTCCCACCCCGTGCCAACAACTTATAAAAAATAGGTAAGCCTTAAAGCTGCTGCCCAATAACATTACCTACATAAAAATGCTAATTAAAAAACCTACCTATCAGCCTCTCCATGAGTTGTATTCAGGCTTTTTCTAAAACATTTTAAATTTAATAGTATCGTGTTAAAAATACAACAAACTTTCATACTTTAAAAAAAAAAATAAAAATAAAATCCATTATATAAAATAATCATGATATAGCAACTATTTATATATTTCTTTAACAAAAATTAAAAAGATATTAGATTCTCAAAGAGCATGTTCATTATAATGAACATGCTGTTTGAGAATATAATATCTTAATTTTGTATCTAATATCTTAATTTTTGTGATTTGTGACGTGATTTAAATGCGCTATTGGAAGGCATTATGAATTGCGGGAAAATAAATAGCACTTGAGTGCTATTTATTTTCCCGCAATTCATAATGCCTAATGATTTAAATCACGTCACTTTACGACTCAATTTACTCAGAAAGTCACGCAATTCAATGTGCACTCTGATTGCGAGAAAATTTTTTAAATTCAACTAGATTTTTTTGGTAATAATTTAATTTTAACGTAAGGGACAGATTGTCCCGGACGGCAGATTTCCAAGGGGCACCAAATAGAATGAAGGTACCTTGGAACAAAGGTCCTTTACCAATAATATAGGAGAATTTTGATAATTAAGAACGCCTATCATGTTGCTGTCCCGGGCGGCGAAACAGTTCTTGGCGGCATTTTATATATATATATAATTATTTGTTATTATTTAATTTTTTTGCAACACTTTTATTTATATACATTCGATAAAAATAGTTTTTAATTATTTTGTAATTATAATATATTTTTATTTATTTCCATACTTATAATGTTGTGTAGCGCAGGTGGTAAGGCACTAATGGTCTAGTGATCCGGGTTTCAAAACCCACCACCGCTAAGTTTTTCATTTTTCAAAATAAATTAAAAAAATTGAAAATCTTACGAATCCTTTATGATACCCTATGGGTAATCACAGGATTTCTTATGGTCCTATAGGATTTGAAAGACAAATAAAATCTTACAAATCCTGTAAGATATCCTGTAAGATAGTATAAGATTATATGCGATCCTATAAGACTCATAAGTTGTCTGTAAGATAGTCGACTAGTGTGATGTTTCCGCTCACAAGTTTTAGACCAAAAACCCACTCATCACGAATTTTATGCCAATTGTTGTTATAATAATCTATAACAGTGGATGGAGCTGATGAAACAAATAGTCTATATAGTTTGTCACAATTTTTCTTTGAGGTAGCATAGGCCAATTTCTGAATAAACTCCAGAGATGAAATTCTTTCCCCACTTGTAATTCCAAGCTTGGCAGTTGTAATTTCATGACTAAAAGTTCTGAAAGACAAGATGGTGTTGGCATATTAGAAAACTTAAAATTTATAAGATTCTGTAGATAATCAATAAGTACAGGTACAAATTAAAAAAAAATCGTAACTAGAATCAGAACAAAAGAATATTCCTTAATAATTCCTAAATATTTCTAAATAATCCTAAAACACAGGTAATTGCAAATGGTGATTCACTAATAAAACGCAATGACCTAAATAAGATAAAGAAAAAAACAATAATACTAATAATACTAATAATAATAATAATAATAATAATAATAATAATAATAATAATAATAATAGAAATAAATTAACCACATAATAAAAATAGAATTTCACAGCAACACCCATAAAACAGAACTTTAAAAGAAGTAAGATATAGGTAAATTAGTTATTATAATGTGTTAATATATATGCATGCACAAATAAAAAATTATAAGATGTACTTATACACACACACATAAAAAAAAAAAAAAAGTTATAGAGGTAAAGAATGAAGTTAAGTGTAACTTAACTTCATTTAGGTAGAAATAATGGAGTGACCTTAAAAACAGATTCTTTGACCTAGGGATGAAATCTGATTTTAGGATGTTCGGAAGGGTGTTCCAAGAAAAGATACACTGGTATGTAATCGAATTAATTCCAAGTTCAGTTGTCTGTTTTAGTGGAATAATTAAGTTGTTGTAAGTGACTGATCTTAGGTTATGACCATTTTGTTGATACCAGACGAATGAACAATTTAAGAACTGAATTAAGTCATAGAAACAAAGAATTTTGGATGTAAGATGTCACTTAGAAAACTTCTTGGGCAGAAACTTCTTTGGGCATTTATATAAATGAAACTCCAGGATATTTCAAGATTTAATTCACATTTTTCAGGAGTTTGTATCATAAAATCAACAAAAGGTATGCCATGAGAAAACGGAACATATTTTCCTATTTTTAACACAGTGTTTCAGATTTTTTTTTTTTGAAAATAAATATTAACAATGTTTACAAATACTTTAAATATATATTTTTCAACCACTCTATAAAGAACCTGAAGTAAATAGTCTTTATCAAAAAAAAAATTTTATAAGTACTTATAACTTACCTCAGATACTTCATGATTATGTTCATTGTTTAAATCTTGCAAGATTAATGTTTGTCCATCTTCTGATGCTTTAAAACTTAAGAAGAATGGACACTCTTTTTTATAAGTCCTATAATAAGCATGTTTAAAATTAGTTGTTTTTTCATGAAATAAATGTTCTACCTTTTGATGAAATAAAACATTTGTGTTAGAACATGGTTCATTTCCTATGCACAAATAAGTTATTAACAATTTATTTTTTAAATCTTATTTTATTATAAACTTTTCATTAATGATAATAAATTATGAAAATAAAACAACTACTAACGAAGTTTGACGTTTTCCATTGCCTTTATTTGTAAACTTTTTTCCACCATGTATACAACAGTGCTTTATATAATAATACTTTATCTGTGGAGCTATTGAAGCAGCTTTTCTTGGAATGGTTTTTCGAGCAGCTTCAATTGTTTATGCGTCACGAATCCACAACTGCACAAAATGAGCATATTAAAATGATAAAAAAATTTGTTTAGTTTTAACATCTTATTAGTTGACATCTTCAAAGTATAAATGAAATGAAATTTTTCTAATATATAGTTCAAATATTTTTCCAATAATTGGAATTTAAAATATATGATATCGGAATTTGTTTTGGCACGTGATTTTTTTTAACTATTAAACTGGCTTCCGACACTATAAGCATATTTCGTTAGAGTGCCGACTTTCGGCACTCTATACACGGCCTAATTGATATGGTACATATTTGATAATGCTTTTTGATGTATATAATGTTTTTTTTCTGCGTATTATTTTTAACTAGCAGTAAGCAACCCGTAATACGGGTTAGTAATAAATAAATCATTACTAACAATTTGATCTTTATTTACTTTCCCTAATGAAAAATAAATTTATTTATACATTTTTTTAGTTGAGCTCACTTTTATTATTCTTGGCTTTTTAGTTTTAGAAAACTCTTAGCTTCATTAAAGATAAAGTTAACCATTTCTTTTGCAATGTTCAGACATTGAATGCGAAAATCACAACCATGTAGTAGTTAAAAATGACTTTAATTATATGCGCAGAACATCGATGTCAAGTTTTCAAATTCCGTAAAATTGTTTAGGTAAATATTGGGAATATATTCTACTCTTAATTTTGCTTTAAGCTGAGTCGTTTCTTTTTTTTTTTAAACTTTTCATTTTACTGAATGAAGAGCTTAAAAATATGTCACTATTGCACCTAAACTTTTCAATATTATTAATATACTTTTTAAATATTTTTAAAAGATCTAAAATATTACACCCAAACTTGTAGGCATAGAAGTTGAATATCCGGAAAAACTATAAGTTGAAAAATATATCGCAATTCCGAAAAGGGCTTAGCCCTGCATACGGATCCTATATTATTATGATAAAGATTATTATTAAACCAACCTTTTTTTTAATTAGATTGTTATAGAAAAGTATATTAAAAAAGTATATTTAAAAAGTATATTTAAAAAGTATATTTAAAAAAAGTGTATTAAATAGAAAACAGATTTTAAAAAACTACCTAATTTTGTAAGCATTTGTCCAATGGTGTTCAATTTGAAACCAATATCTTTAATGGAAAGCCGAATTGTTTAACTAATCTCATTCAAAGAATAAAATTATTAACACTTAAAGATAAAGAAAAAAAATGAATGAGATATAAACAATCGTACTATAGTATTATATAGATAAGTAGATATATATGAATAAAAAACAACAACTGGAAAACAGTATACCTGCTTTTGGTAACCTATTGTGATACTGCAGCAGTTGCTGTAGGGATGCAGCTGTTCTTTTTGGTGTTGTTCAAAAACGTAATTTTTATGATGGCTTTTAGTAAACTTTAGTTTAATTTAAAAGACAACACAACGGATTTAAAATACTCATAACAAAAAAAGCAAAACATAAAATGCTTAAGGAGCCAAACTATAAACATAAAAGATGAAGAATCAAATCGAGATAAATAAATTGTATTTATATAGCTAAATATATTGCCTTGGGTTTTGGTAAATTTTAAAAGCAGTGAGTTCATTAAATGAAACATACCAAATAATTGCATCATTAAATTATGATAATTAAATAATGAATCAATTGAACTATATTTTAAAAGCCAGGTTTAATTGGTAAGAAAACAATTAAAATTTTCATTAAATAAGATCAAAACAAATCAAATATACAACATAATATATATCTAAAAAAAAATTAACAAAGTAAAATTAAAAAAAATTACAAATTAAAAAAAAAAACACCGAAGAAAAAGCAGCAACCAAAAAGTCATAAATATCTCTACTGATAGAAGACATTTACAACCTTTTTGTTGCTGTTTTTTCTTCGATGTCTCCCAACACCCCGGTATGGATGAGCCCTCCATTTTAAGGAGGGCTCATCCATTTCGCCATTATCTTTCCGTTTGTTGAAGGACCTTTCTGAGAGAGGTACCGGGTGATGGAAGCGGTAAGTTTTTAATCTTTGAATGATAAGGAATCTAAAGTTACAAATAGAAGAATATAATAAAAATTATACATTTGCAATTATTTAAAAAAAAAATTAGCATAACCTCACCATTTTTATTCAAGACAGAAGAACTAAAAAAAAAAAAAAAAAAGAGAGCAAATTAAAAAGGGTTAAACATGCAACATTTTATATTTTAATAAATATATAGGGCAATAATGCAACCACTTCAAAAGTTTCAGATTTATTAATTAATTTTTCCACCTATTGCACATATTTCTCCATACAAAACATATAAAATATAAAACACAGCCCTTCCAGCTATACTTCCACCAAACACTAAAGACAAATATATACTTAAATAAATATAAAATAATTGATAAAATAATGTTAACATATAAATATATACATATCTAAATAATTGTTTTACCTATCCCCTTCATTTTATCCATAAAGTTGTCTAAAGTAAGAAAAAAATAACTAAAGCTAAAAACAAAACTTTAAACTAAACCAAAACTATAAACTAAAGTAAACTTTAAATCTTCTAAATATTAATGCTCTATTTATTAAACTAAACTAATCATAACTTATACTTAGTTTTTGTTTCAACTCCCCTAAAAGAAAGTACACTTTCTTTTAGGGGAGTTTTGTATCTATCTTAAAGTACGGTTCTGTACAGATACAGAACTGTACCGTAACTATAAAATATTATGCGTTACTATGCGCACTAATAATAATATTCATTCGGCTATTTATAATTAGATTCTGCAAATCGGTTTTTTGTAAATATCGTACTATATTGAGCTAACCTTTAGCCAATGTTTTTTTTTCGGCGTAATAATGCAATTCTACAAATCGGTTTTTTGCAATTATCATACTACGTTGGACCAACATTTGGCCAATGTAGTTTAGGCCCATAAAAATCTGTTCTTACATTTATACCGTAGCCAATATTCGGCCAATGTAGTTGCAGATTAGTATATACTTTTAAATTTGTTGCGATACATTTTTAAAAACGGTATCATTTGACAGAATAAAAAAAGGTTTTGATACTATCTTTCCATTTTTTTAAATTATAAAAATAAAAAAAAGAAGCTATATTTATTAATCTTCTAACAATCTTAAAAAGTTCCTTATAAGCAATAAACTTCAAGAGATTCTCGTGACTTAATGTTTTGTTTTTTTAAATAATGAAATATTTGTTAACATTTAAATAATATGTTTAAACCATTTTTTACTACAATCTGAATTATTAATGTAACAATAAAGGCAATAATCAAATTATTTTTGTGTCTTAAAGTTATTTTTTTATTTTTATTGATGTATTGGCATTTCAAATGTTTGATTTATTTAATAATCTTTATTAAATAAATGAAACATTTCAAATGTTTGATTTATTTAATAAAGATGACGTTTTAAATGCCTTCTTTTTTAAATAAATGAAATATTTCAAATGTTTGCATTATTTTATAAAGGAGACGTTTTAAATGTCTTCTTTATTAAATAAATCAAACATTTGAAATGTCATACAGTATAAGTTTTTTTTTTCAAAATTTATTTATAATAGTTTAGATTATATAGCTATTATAAGATATATGATTGAAGGTATCAATAATGATATTATTGATACCTTTAATATTATTATATAATATTTATTATTAATATATATGTGGTATTGAAGTTGTTAGAAGCTGATATTTTACATTTTAAATTTGTCTCTTTTGTTTAATTTTGTTCTGTTTTCTGAGATTGGGAAACCACATCTACTCACATATTAAAACAGTGTACAAAAAGTGATGTTTCGAGAACTTATATTCTACTTATGTAGAGCTTTCTAATATTCCATCTTTCTGAGGCAAAAGGACATTTTTCTTGGTTTTTTTATTTTATAATTTAATTTCTCTGGATATTTTTCATATTTAGTTTGCGTACAACAGTTAACAACTTTAAGCTTATACATTATTTTTAGTTATAGTTTAACTATTAATGATTTTATTTATAGATTTTTAAAGCAATACAAGATTGAATTTAGCAGAAGACTAAACTTCTGCTCTGCAGACAAAAAAGGAAGACAGCGAAAATGACCAGTCAAAATAAAGATTAAAGAGATAAAAAATTGTGTATATCTTGGTATAAATGATTTATCCTCATTTTCTTATAATAAAACAAAAAATATTATTAAACTTTGGGATTTACCTGTAACTCCAAACTCTTTGCAGAAGTTTAAAGTTTGCTCTGAGAAGTTGAATGAACAAAATTTATTAAATGTTAAGTTTTTATATAAAAGTCTTTATGTCTGATGATTTAAAATCTTTATTCATAGCATTAACTTTTACAAATTTAAAGACTTTTTCATATATTACAGTCAAAAAGTCAGAGTGTTGATTAACATTTTATTGTGTAATTATCAACATATCAAAGCTTACACCAGCTTGGTCAAGAAGCAGGAACGATCGCTCTCGAATACTGACCACCGAAATTATATTTAGTTGCGAAAAACTGGCCAAGTTTTTTAGTTGTTTTAAGTTTATGAACATAACGAAAAGTTTTTGTTGGATTTTAAAGTTGGTGCCACTAACTTTAAAATCCATTTAAAATCAACTGCCGAAAAAAATAAAAGAGTATTCATATCAGTTTAAAGTTTTAACAGTTGCTGGTGGTTCATTATTATTCATTATATAAACTTTTTTTTTATTTTTTCTAATAGGTAATACAATATTTTTATAGAAAATATTATTTTTAAAAATTGTATTATTAAAATATGTAAAAAAAATTATTTACAAACATTGGACAAGGTCCGTACCGTACCTTGAAAGTCTGTAAAATTTGTTAATATTGGCTAAAGTCGTAGAAAACCTGGAAAAGTCAGGGAATTGTTTTTTTTTAGATAGTCATGGCAAAATTAGTAATTCTAGTTAAGAAGTTACTCGTTTCACAATTGAATACTCTATTTTGAAAACGTGATGAGTCACACTTGAAAAGTGAGGTTATTTGAAAAGAATATTTTTT